AAAATTTAGAAAAAGGTTGTACGGAAATAGCAGATCAGGCAAAGGAGCTTTTATGGATTTGAGAAGCGAAAGATCTTAGATTGAGAAATCGAGAATCCTTATAAGATTTACGCATATCCATATGCTGTTGAGGACATTTTGAAGAAGAGCTTGTCAAGGAGGAATTTAGGAGGATTTACAAAGAATTCAAACCTCGAAAGGAAAAAGAAAAAACTTCAAAATTTCAAGAATTATGTCTCTCTTAAAGTATGGGTTTAGAAAATCAAGATCGAAGTTATTTGTAATGTCTAATTAGGAGATCAACAAACCTGTAAAGATTGAATTACTGATTATTAGTGCTACTTAGTCAAAAGTCTAATCTCTGTAAACCGCTTTAGACGACTCCCTAAGCACCGCCAATTAGGGTGTGGGGCAACATGCTTGCAGGGGTCACCTGTAAAGGCTTAGAAGTATTGGTACGAAGATGGTGAACGGTGAAATCCAGAGAAGAATATAGCGTAGCTAAAAAAAAAAAAAAAAAAAAAAAAAACGCAGAGTTCCTGGACATGTTCCCTCCACATCAGCTTTTGATGGTGGAACCGCAGTGGTTTGGAGGGGAAAGAGGAACCCCAGCGGTGACTCCCTGAATCTACGGCTTTCGGCACCAGATGTATACAGCCAGAGACAGCCACAGGAGTCCCTGACGAGACGAGACTTCTGCTTGAGATACTATTTCCCAAGAGCCGGCCTGCTAGTAGGCTGAAGAGAGTTTTCTTCAGCCCTCCAACGGCACCAACAGTCAATCCCCTGAGTCGTGACCTGTTCCAGGCAATCAAACATGCTGTCATCCTGTATGTCTGTGCTCGGACGTAATGTTCGGTATAAGGGATGCTGAACCCAGCTTCCACCAGGTGCAGCTCCCCACCAATGGACTGGAGCCATCTACATCAGGGATACTATTTGGGGATGCTCTTAACAACCCCAATAGTATAGCCCTTGTTTGTTCTTTTTTTTTTTTTTTTTTTGGAAGAATCAGCCCCGTGGGACAGCTTGAGATGCTGGTAGGAGCAGTCGCCTCAAGCTCTCCCAGGGTGGCTCCATCTATGGTAGCCCTTGTTTGTTGAACTTTTGCACTTGTCGGGAAAAATTATAGAGTCTCCAATTTTCCTGGCGAATCAAGGCTCTTTTTCCCATGGCGGATTTGAACTGCATGGCCCCAAAAAAAGTGAGCCACCACGGGCACGGTTTTCTTCGTTTTGGCCTGCGGCACCAGCAATTTTGGTCCGGTAGCACCGTTCATCTGAAACTTGCGGGATATATTTTTAATACCGCTCGATTTGCCTGTGGGCTGCGTAGTGGTGCTTCAAACTACTAGAAGTATCTCCACGTCACTTTTCCCTCACACAGGTTCCTGCTGTCTGGCCATAAAACGAACTGGCGCAGGCATATTTTTCTTCTTTTTCGTCTGGCTCCACGAGCCATTTCAGTCCGGTACGACGAGCCCCAAAGGTCGCGCCGTGTTAACAGTTCCCTCCTGGCGTTGCAAAGCACAAGCAAGTTGTAACATCACACTTGCTTTGGGGACCCAAGTCCAACGTTGAGCTTCGCCATCCAACCTCAAGAGTCAAGATAAAACAAAGTCTCACCATTGTGTTGAGACCTTTTGGGGGAAGTTTTGGCTGTTCCGTAGTGTTCTGTAGTGCAGACGCCAAGTCAGAAACTCCATGATTTTTAGATGCATGGTGATGATACGGCGTATGTGAGACAAGTCTTTTTTTTTTTTTTTCCTTGACTCTTTCAAATCTTTTTGGTATGAACTACTATGAAGACACATGTAGAAAAAATATAAAAAAAAACAGAGAGACGGCTTTGAGATATTGTCATCATTGACCTGACCGGCGCCAGGTAATTCACAATTGTTTTATTCTGTTCATCTGATTGCATCTGGACTCGGACTTGAGTCTGCATTTCAACAGTCCATGGGTGTACCAACTGCGCTAGACTGTCAGTTGGAATCATAGATTTGAAGATACTTCAACTTTTCCATGTCCATGTTGTAACTTTAAAAGTTAAAATGATAATAAAATAAAATCTCAATTGTTCCTTTACTCCTTTGCTTTTCTCAAGTTAATTACAGAATCTCACTTTTCTTAGTTTTCCCGGTTTTCCCTTTATTTATCACTCACTCGAGTCTTTTCCATATCATTTCGTTCCCCTTCCTTGCAATTTTGTCTTTTTCTCTTTTCCCCAAAAATTAAAGAGAGCCGCCTGCCTTCGACTGTAGCCATCCATTTTTCTTCGCAAGCCGTCAAAGTTTTCATTTTTCAGGAAAATTGTGGAAAGAAACTGGTCTCCCAAGTAGTCCAACCAACCCAGGGCCACACCCCACAGCCAGGTAGGACAGCAGAGACGGAGGCTACTAATTATATCTAACCAAACATTGAACTCAAAGCACCTTCCCAAAATCTTGCCCGCCTGAGCATCCAAATCCCAGTACAGTCACATGTACACACGCACAGACAGGGCGAGAGAGAGAGAGAGAGAGAGAGAGAGAGAGAGAGAGAGAGAGAGAGAGAGAGAGAGAGAGAGAGAGAGAGAGAGAGAGAGAGAGGGTGGAGTCACAGGAAGCAAACAGTTTTCACACCTATCACCTGCCAACCTACAATGCACTTCTGTTGGTAAAAATGCTTCAGGGGATTTCATAGATGTAACTTGTGAAGTTCAACAACTTTTAGGAGACAATGAAGTAAGAGCAGTAGCTATGAGTGCTACTGATGGTCTTATGAGAGGGATGGAAGTAATTGATACAGGAGCACCTTTGAGTGTACCTGTAGGTGTAACTACTTTAGGTCGTAGTTTTAATATATTAGGAGAACCAGTAGATATTCTTATCGCTACTTGATGTATTTTTCTCCCTCTAATAATCCTGTCAAGTTCTTGATCCCTCATGTGGAAGGTTTACCTCACTGATTCTCTCCATGGTTCAAGGAGACAACATTAACCATAGTCATGTTTTTTGTTTGAAAAAGAGAGATGAAAAAGTAAGCATCAAAGTGCAAAAAGATGTTTGGAAAGACAGAGAGATAAAGAAGAAAGGAAAGATTCGAAGTGCCGAGACAATAGGAAAGGGTAAAAAAACAGAAGGCGGTTGGTAGTTGCAAAAACAAAAGGGTCAAAGAACAGAAGGTGGTTCGGCTATTCGCACACAGCCAGGATATTCCAAATCATTCTTTTCATGTGTAATGGGACGCTGGACCCGATTTCCAGCAGGTGATGCTCCCCACCAATAGATGGAGCCTCTTAAAAAAAAAAAAAAAAAGAAGAAGAAGGTTAACATACTTCAATCTTTCCTCCTCGCAAAAAAAAAAAAAAAAAAAAAGAACAGAAGCTGGTTGGTAGTTGGAAAAGAAAGGGTGAAAGAACAGAAGGTGGTTGGTAGTTGGAAAAGAAAGGGTGAAAGAGAAGAAAGGGTGGGAAAACAAAAAGGGTCAAAGAACAGAAAAGGGAGTTCGTTGGTAGTTGGGAAAAGAAAGGGCCAAAGATAAGAAAGGGAGGGAAGAAATCACAGTGCATAGGTAGTGATGGAGAAGAGCACAGCAAAAAGACAGTTGCTAAGAATGGAAAGGTGCACTCGCTTTGTACCATTATGGCTGTATTATTATTTCGGATGTATCGTTTATTGTTCTCAAGAAGTGGATAGACAAAGCCATTTAAATTCTAAATAGAGAAGTCCACATCATGGCCTCAAAAACTTGGAAAAAGACTACGCCGCCCCTATGACCATGAGGACCACTGTCTTTCTTCCTGCGTCCTTTAAACCGCTACTATACATGGCGCCAGCCAGCCTTGTGAACAAATTGTTTGCCACCTACGCCGAACAAGTCAGGGCCAGCGCACCCGTTGATAAACTTCATCAATGGCGGCCGCCGCCGTGTTTCGGGCCTCCGCGAATCATGGTGAGGGGCCCTGCGGTCCGATGTCTGGCCTTGTACTGGTGGTTTAACGTGTCGATAGATTCAATGGTAATCCTTTGGACACTGGGTGAAGAGGAGCGGCTGGAGGAGGTAGGCTCATTCCGCAGAGCGCGCAGAGCGGACTGGAACATAAACAGCAGTCGTCAATACAATAACGACGACGATTTACAGAGTTCCAGATTTCATTCCCAGTGCTGAGAAAAAAGCTCAACAAAAAGAGAAAGAGAGAGAGAGGAAAATTACATTCATGTGGATATAAACAACAAAACACCTCATGTGAGGCTTTACTCTGGTGGAGGACATAACGTCCCGACCGGATCTACTCTGGTGGAGGACATAACGTCCCGACCGGATCTCGTGGAGGAGACAATGTCCCAACACGAGGACCAGCGTGATCAATAATCAGTCCACAATCGCCCTTCTGCCTCGCGCACTCAGGCAGTGCGCCAAATATTGAAGAAGCACCAACAGAAGACCATGCAACCCCCACAACCCGAAACGAAAAGGGGAGCAGCAACAGGGAAAGCAGTGTACTAAATATCTAGTACACTGGAATCAGAAAAAGGAAGGGATCAACTGAGCACCAGCACAAATCAAGGGTGAAAGGGAAGAAAAGAAGAAGCCTGGAATCAGAAAAAGGAAGGGATCATCGGGTGTAGCTCAGTTGGTACACCC